ATATATATATATATATATATATATATATATATATATATATATATATATATATATATATATATAATATTAAATTCCAATTTTTTTTTTTAATTTAATTTAAATGTCAATTAATTTAAATAAAGAAAAAATTTTGTTTGTTAGAATTATTTTAACAAACTACAGATTAATTAATTTTTTTTTTTTTTTATGGTAAAATGAAAATTTTTCAGTATTATTTAAAATCATAAATATTATTATTATTATTATTAAATAAGCGTTTAAAGATAAACTTATTGAAAAATTATTATTATTATTATTTTTTTTTTTATTTGGTTCATATGAAAAACAATCTGTAATGAAATGCTTTAAGGCTCCCCGCGTATTTTTTCGTTAAAATAAATTTTTAAAAAAAATAAAAAAAAAATTTATGTGTTTTTATGTTGGCAACCCTTTGACAATTTTTTTTTTTTTTTTCAAAACTTTTTTCTTTAAAAAAATTTAAAACAAAAAAAAAATCAAATAAAATGGGAAAAATTTTCCCTTTTTCCATTTAAAAAAGTTTTTTTCTTCGTTCTACTTAATTTATTATTATTATCATTATTATTACTATTAATTATCATTATTATTATTATTACTATTATCAAATAATTGTTAAAATAAATGTATTTAAATTTTTATGAAATGAAAAATTGCAAAACAATTTAATCAACAGGTTAATGAACTTATTGATATATAACAACCACCTGTTGCTCTCGCATCCCAAAATTTGATGTTGTTGTTCCCCCCCACCCCCACCTCACCCCCTTTTTTATTAAATCGTATTAATTAATTATATTTAAAATTTATCGTTTCGATTTTATTCTGATAACATACTAACGAAATACTCGATTATATATATAAATAATAATAATAATAATTAAAAATCGTTTATTAAACTTATTGTTGTTGTCTTCGTTGTTGTCTAATAATATTGATAAGCCGAAATTTGTCTTAAATTTTGTTTTATTATTATTATTATCGTGTCTTATCGTAATAATATATATATATGGCTTATCAATTAAATATTTTACGTGTAATATTATTATTATTATTATTAAAATTATCGTATTTATATACACACAAGTATTTATGTATAAAATTAATTATTAATATTAAAAAAAAAAAAAAATACTCGAATATTATTTATTGTTTTAATATTATTATTAATAATATTAATGATGATAATAATAATAATATAACAAACAAGAGGGAAAAACTTATAGAAAATATTTTTATAAACAAAATTGTGTTAATAAAAAAAAAATAAATAAAAAATTATTTTTATTTTATCTTATTTAAAAGGTGTGCCTTTTAGGTTGTTGTGTATTTTAAAATTGTCAATTTTTTTTTTTTTTTGGGGGGGGGGTTTCCGTTTCGTAATAATAATGATAATATTTAATTACATTCCCACATATATATATATATATATATATATATATATATATATATATTCTAACAATATGGTAAATTTAATGATTAACAACAACCAACACACACAAACACAAAAATAAGGAATAAAAATGTCTTCCAATTTGAACAGACAACACAACAGGACAATTTTAAAACCTGAATGATAATAATAATAATAATTTAAAAACACACAAACAAAATAATAATAATAATAATGAGAAAAAGTTTTTCCCACGGATTACAACACATTTATATATAAATATATGTTTAAATAAATAATAAAATTTAAATTTTTTCCGTGTATTTTATTTAAGTGTTTAATAAATATTTATTATTATTATTATTATTATTATATATGTAATACGTTTCAATAAAAAATAAATTAAATTTCTTTAAATTTTTCTTAGAATTAATTAATTAATTAATTAAATTTCAAATTGGTAAATGTAAACAATTATTTAATAAATTTTTTCTTTATATAATTATTATTATTATTATTATTAAAATTTATTCAATAACGAAAAACTTTTTCTTGTTTTTTGTGGTAAATACTTTTTTTTCCTCTATTATATATATTAAATAATAATAATAGAATTGTTGTGAAAAAAATTTAAATTTAAATTTAAACAAATAAATTTGTTAATTTAATCAAGATTTTGATATTTGTTATTATAATATTAATAATAATAATACTGTTTTCATTTTATTGATGGTAATAATAATAATAATAAAATCAATTATTTTAAAATTATAAAAATATTATTTTATTTTTATTTGTTTATTAAAAATTAATAGAATTTCAGTTATTTGAATTTCAATTTCAATTTTTTTTTAAATTTATTTTTAATTAAAAAAGTAATAATAATAATAATAATAAATAAAAATATATATATTTTATTTTTTATATAAAAAATGATAAAATTTCGATAATTTTTATTAATTGTAATTTAAATATTTTTAATGTTAAAAATTTAAAATGATAATAATAATAACTTATTAAAAAAATCTGTGAAAATAAATTAATTTTCAAATATGTATTTCATTTATGTATTTATTTTAATCGTGACGAAAACAAAAATTTATTCATATTTAAAAAGTTTCTAATAAATATTTTAAATTTCAATAATAATAATAATAATATGATAATAATTAAATTTTATTTTTTCACCGAAATTCCATTGGTATGTATATTATTCATTAAATGTTCAATAAATTATTAATCCATCATAACAATAATTTCTTTATCAAGTAAATTTTATTTATTATATATATAAATTTAAATATATAAAAGGCCGCAGTCGCAAATTTGTTCTGTACCTGACACCTTAAAATATATTTAAATTATTAGACAAAATACTTTTCACACTGGAATAAACTTTTGTCCATGACGTTTAATTTATTTTTAAAATGATTTAATGATATCCTTTAAAGGAGGTTTAAGTAATTCTGCTCCCTGAACAATTTAAAGTTCCAACAAAAACAAAAGAAAAAAAACTTTATAAACCTCCATTTTAATTCGTTTTTAATAAAAATAAGGAGTCCATTTTGAAAGATTCATCATATACCAAGTTTTGCACATTTTAATAAAGTAAAAAAAAATTTATTTTTTCAAAAATTGTTGTTAGTCGCTGCGGGTTATTTTTCTTAATTATACGATCGTTTTAAACAATTATAAAAATATATTATTAAGCAATAATTATTATCTTGTTTGACTTATTTCATTAAAGACAATTTATTGAGTATTTATATGTGTGAAAAAATATTAAAATTCCTTAAAATCTAACCCTTGATAACAGCTATTGGACGAAGTTTTATGCATTTTTTACTGATTCCAGCATCGTGACAGGTATTTACAACATCTGTTACATTTTTGTATGATTCTGGAGCTTCTTCCATGACTAGTTTGGGTGAAGCAACTCGAATGGATATTCCCATGTCTGATAATTTATTTAAAACTTGTTGATAGTCTAAGTTTCTTCTTGATTTTGCTCTCGACAGAGCTCTCCCCTAAAAAAAAAGGTAAGTAGCTTTAAAATTTTTCTCTTAATGTACAGAAATATATAGATATATAAATATTATAGTAATTAATTTGAGTAAAATCATATAATGAACTTACAGCTCCATGACAAGTCGAACCAAAAGTCTCTAGCATTCCCTGTTGTGTGCCTGTTAAAACATAACTACATGTTCCCATTGTGCCACCGATTAACACAGGTTGACCAGTCAATTGGTAATCAACTGGAATTAAAGGGTGATGTGGAGGGAAAGCTCTAGTTGAACCCTACAAATTATTCAATACAATTAGTAAAAGTTTTAAATTTACAACATTTGTAAAAGTTTTTAAAGTTTACCTTTCTGTGCACCAACAAAGTTTTTTGTTTTCCATCCACTATGTGCTCTTCAATTTTGGCAATATTATGAGATACATCATATATAACATGCATATCTAAATCATCTGGACATGAATTAAATTGCTTGGCAAAGGCCTGTAAGTTGTTGTTTTTAATGAAATTATAACAAAAAAACATTGATATTTGAATATAACAAGTAATGTTTATAAAAAACAAAATTTTACCTGTCTACATAAAAATGTCATTGAGCTTCTATTGACCCATGCAAAGTTAGCGGCTGCTGCCATGCTTTTTAAATAATCCTGCCCTTCGGGAGAATTAATTCTAGCACAAGCCAACTGCCTATCATTGGTTTCAATATTGTCCCTTTTCATTGCTTTTTCCATTTGAACCAGGGCATCGGTTGCTACCTGGTGTCCAAAACCCCTACTACCAGAATGAATCATAACACAAATTTGCCCTTTTGATTCGATACCCATTTTGCTTGCAGCCCATTTATCATAAATTTCATCAACCACTTGAATTTCAGCATAATGATTTCCAGCTCCTAAAGTTCCTAACTGTTCACAAAAAAATTAAATGTAAAAAAATGAATCAATTGTAATCGATTTGATTGGAGACATCAGCACTTATACCTGAGGTAATCCTCTTTTTTTGGCCCTCATGCTAACTTTAGAAGGATCTGCATTTAACATTCTACCATATTCTTCACAATGTTCTTTGTCTTCTGCCCAAACGTAGCCTTCTCTGAGAGACCAATCCATTCCCATTTCAAGAGCCTCTTCTAAATCTCTCGCATTCATTGGAATGATACCTTTTGATCCTACTCCAACTGGTATATGATCGAAAAGACTTTGCGTTAGTTGTTCCTGAAAGAAAACAAAAATAATTAAGTAGTATTTAAATAATCAATTGTGTTTAACTTTTCTAAGTTTGATGCATAATTATGATAAAATTATTTTTAAAATAATTGATTTAAACCACAGATTTTAACAATTTTGTAGTACTTACTTTAACAGGAAGTATATCTTTTTCCATGAGGTTGGTTCTTAACAGTCTTACACCGCAATTAATATCAAAACCTACTCCTCCAGGAGAGACCACCGATTTTGGATCTGACATGTCAAATGCTGCCATATTACCTGCCATAAAAATATTTTTTAATATACTAACTTATTTAATATTTCTAAAAGAAAAGATATATGAAATTTAAATGAATATGCATAAAATTACCTATGGCAAAACCATACCCGGAGTGAACATCAGGTAGTCCCACTGATTTCCCAACAATGCCTGGTAATGCCGCAACATTTGCTATTTGTTTGACACCAGGCAAAAATCCACCCACCATTCCAGGTCGACAAGCATTTTTCAGTTCATCTAACATTAATTTTTCTAAGTGATTATTCACGTAAAAAACTCCTTCCACCTAAAAAAAAAAAATTAATTATTACTTTTAAAAATTAAATATTTTAGTTATAAAATAAGTGAATACTTACTTTCATGTTTGGTTGAAAGCCAATTTTGATTCGCCAACTGTAAGGGCTAATTTTTTCCAGGTAATTAAGTTCTTCATTATATTGCCTTACTACCATAATTTCTTAAAAGATTAACTTTATAAAATAAAAAACTTTAACAACTTTAGATGCACTATAACCTAACTCACCGGGTTATTTAAAATTTACTTGCAATGCCTACGTTGCATTATTTAAATGTTAATTTTATGACAGATAAAAAAAAAATTGCGATCTTGAAGGCTTTGCAACTTTTGTTTTTGGCTCACATAAAGAGATAAATAAATACAATTTTCCTTAATTTTTTTTTTCTCAATAAAATAATTCTATTTATAAACATGCTCCTAGTGCTTTTTTTTTTTTCTTGACCATTACATGGATTTAATGCCAGATAAAAATAGAATCCATTTTTTGGATGTTTTTTATGCTTATGAAACTGACGAAAAAAATTATTACAACATAGTGACAATTTCAAGTTTTATTTTATTTAATGTAAATGCTTTAATTTTTTTACCTAAATTAGCTCCGAGGTCTGCTAAAAAAACACCTGAACAACTATGGAAATGGAGAAACATTGCAAATTCATTAATTCACTCTATACTATCTGGATTTGGAGCCATGATCAAGTTTGTTCAATTTTCCTTTTAACAATTTATAAATGAAATTATTTTTCATAAAACTATTTGTCATACAATGTTATGATTGTTTATTTATTAATCATAAATTTTATTTCATTAATAATCAATTTGCCTTTGCTGTTTAATTTTAGTTTATTGAGAACACCTGAATTAAGGTATGAGCTCATTACGGCATATACTCTTTTTTCTTGGTCAACTCTTTCTTTTTCAGTCGGTAAGTCTCAAAAAATAATTATAGTCAATTATTATGAAAAAAAAAAAAAAAAATTTAATTTTATGTTGAAAAAAATTTTTAGGTTACTTCATATATGACTTTATTGATATGGCTGTGCATCAAAGGAGACCATCAACTTATGAACTTTTAATTCACCACATTCTGGTCATAATTTGTTTTGCTTTGGCTGTAATTACTAAATATTATCAGGGATATGCATTAGTCGCTTTGCTAGTCGAAGTCAACAGTATTTTTTTGCATATAAGACAACTTTTTATTATACAGGGATGGCAGAAAAGTTATATAATTTATAAAATAAACAGTTATTTTAATTTAGGTATTTGTTATTTATAAAATCCATTACTTTTGTTACAAATTGAATTAAAATTAAACATAATAAAAAATTTTTTAAACCATCGATCTCATCAACTCATTTATCATTATCGCTATCATTTTAAAACTTTAAAAAAAAATTTTTTTATATGTTTAATTTTAATTCAATTAAGTATTTCATTATTATTTCTTCAGTTTTTCTTTTATATTTCAACATTATTTTTAATTTCAGGAACATTTATAGTGTTTAGGCTATTTAATCTGTGTTGGATGATCTGTTGGCTTGTTCTTAATCAAAGTGGATTAAATGTTAGTAAAGTCACAGTTATTTTCACTGGTAAATATATATAAATTTAAATTGACAAATTATACATGCATTAACTAATAGAAAAATTAAAAAAAATTTCATTAAATTGTTTGACCATGTCATATATTTAATTTCAGCATTTGCCCAAATATTTTTTTTAATTCATAGCATGAAACTTCTTAAAAAAATTCTAGTGGCAGATGGTTTTGTTAGCGGAAGAAATATAAATAAAAAATTATTAAGAAAATCTGATTCTTTTATTTCTAACTGAGAGTTGTCACACTCGTAAAAATACTTTATTTATTTATTTTAAAAAAGTTAAAATTTTTGTAAATATATTTATTGCTGTTTTACTATTATATGTTTGTGTGTGTGTGTGCGCGCGTGTGTGCGAAAGTAATTTTTCTTTTTGTTTTAGAAATGAAAAAATATTTGACAAAAAAAAATATTTGTTTAATTATACATTAAAAAATATATTACTTCTTTTATTTATTAATTTTTTTTTAAAAAATATGTGGCAAAATTTTATTTTATTTAAACAATGCAAGTAATCATCATTTTTATTATTATATTTAATTATTTGTTTTGTGTTTTAAAGTGATTAGAAAAAAAAAAAAAATTATTTATTAATGTGTGATGTTGATATTTAAAAGTATTATTCTCAAAGTTACCTTTATAATTATATTTATACATGTTAGTGAAGATTAAAATATATTAAATTATTTAATTAAACATATCATACATATGTGTACCTTAAAACACACTTGGAAAATAATTTACTTATTTATTTTTTTATGTATTTTTGTAAATTTTAATTCTCAACTTGTAGGTTTAAAAACAGGGTATAAATTTAAAAAAATTTTTAAATTTTATTTATATGTATTATTTTAAATTCTCGATTTCTGAATGATGAAAAAAATATATATATAAATATAAATTACGTAACGATAAACAAGACTTATCAATGTGAAATTTTTAAGGGTGGTTTATTAAGTATTACACAAAGGTACTCTGTTGTATGACATGTTATCAAATATAAATAAAATGTTTTATGTTAATCATAAAAAAATTTATTGATACTGAATAAAATTTATTTTTACAGATTTTATAAAGGCATTAATTTTTTTTCAAAAAAAGTACAACACTAATTGTAATTATTAATAATAAGATTTTTATGCTTTATGCTTTTTGAGTTAAAGTTGTAACAGTTTTAAGATATTCGATAGGCCAACACCAATATAAAAACAAGTTAATAATTGATGATTAGTTAATTGCGATTTTTTTTTTTTTTGTTACTAGTAATTAATATTGAATGTTTTGATTAATGAGAACAACTTGACTCTCTGTCATTAAAATCGGATTTTGCCTTTCCACTGCTGTGGGTTTTGATTTTTGCAAAAGATTTAATTTTGCTGTCAGACCTTTTTTTATTTTCTAAAATATAAAATAATAATTTTAAAATAATTTCACGTAATAAGTTACGGACTAATATTTTTTTTTTAATAAAATAAAATTATGCGGTACCTCTTTAAAACTTCCGGGAGTTTTTATAAGATAATAAATTGCATAACCTGGTATCCAAATCATTGATGAAAAACTAAGAATTAATCCAATTACTTCTCCCCACCAAGGATAATGATATACATTTGCATAAGTTACAGGTTCGTATTTAATGCAAAAGAAAAAGAAAACTCCCTGCGTCGAAAAAAAATGGGCAACAGTTTTAAAAAGAAACAAAGGCAAAAATAAATTTTAATCTTCTTACCAGCATAACACTTGGAGCTAAAAATTTCCATGAAATGACCCAGAAAAGACCTGGTTTTTTCCCTGTCATTTCTTTGATGCAATTTACAAATTTTTCAGCTCCAAATACCCACGATATGGCGATAGTTTGAAAGAAGCACACCCATAGTAAACACATGCCACTGGCAGAGTAAAAATCCATGATTTGAAATATGTAAGTGCCTCCCTATGTAAAAAAAAATGATGTTAATTGTATTAAATTTAGAGACATAGATACACTTTTTCTCTCGTTAAGCACTTATATTTAATAATCGACTTACATGAGTAACCATAGGAATTCCAAGAGCAAACATAATCAAACAAACCCCAAGAGTAAACTTCTTTCTGTGAGGTCTTAAAATATGGGACCAATGATCAACCACACCAGTAACAAATGACTCTACATTGCAAAATAAACTATCCACTCCTAAAATCTAAGAAACGAAACAATTATTTTAATAAATTTACTCGTAAAATGAAATCGAAAAAAAAAACCTTACCATTAACATAAAGAAAAAAATTGCAGACCATATGGGTGCACCAGGTAATTGCAAAACTACTTCAGGGTACGTTATAAAAACGAGACCAGGACCACTAGCGACAACATGCTCAACATCGGTGTGTTGAATATGTGCTAAATAACCGAGAATGGAAAATGTTATTATTCCAGCCAATATGCAAGTAAATGTATTTACTATACAAGTAACAACAGCATCCCTAAAATGAAATTGAAAAAACAGTGTGAAAGGTTTTGTTTTTAAAAACTTAATTATTAATGATACTTACTTGTAACAATTGTGCCTGAAATTGTTGTAGGAGCCTAAGGCGGGTAAAGTACCCACTCCCAGAGAGTATGCAAAAAAAATTTGTGTTGAGCCATCTATCCAAGCTCCTGCAGTTGTTAATTTAGACCAATCAGGAGTTATAAAATATTTTAAACCGTCAATAGCACCAGTAAGAGTTACCGAGTAAAACAGCAAAATTAAAAATATGGCGTATGGAAAAAGAGCAGTGAACCAAATAATCTTAAATCAAAAAAAAAAAAAAAAAAAATTTAATAATTAATGTCTAAAAATATTGAGGTGATTGTGATAATAAACATTATCGCATAAATTTTAATAAATTAATTTTATAATTACCTTTCCACTTTGATTCAAACCTTTGGCAATTATTAAATAAACTATAATCCAAGCAAGAAATAACAGCCCGAAAAGTTCCCATTGCATTCCTCCAATATCAGTAATGCCATTACTCAGCATTAAAACTCGCCGTCTGAAAATTAAAAAAAAAAATTTTATTTAAAACGATTAAAATAAAATTTAAAAAAATTTTTTTTAAAATTAAAATAAATAAAATTAAAAATACCATTTTAAAACGTTTAAAAATTTTAAAAAGCACAATATAAAAAGGTTAATTAAGTTTTAAAAGAATTTCACTTTTTCACTTAATTATTATTTTCAAAAAAAAAAAACCTTATTATAAAATACAGATTTTCTTCAAATGCATTTTTTATTAAATCACTAAGTTTTTTTTTTTTAAAAATGAACTAAAATTCACTTGTTTGTAACGATAATATTTTAAATATTTAAAATTAAAATTTTAAAAATAAGTCTGAACTTCGTAACGACTTAAAACCAAATGAAAAATTTTAACGTGGAAGTAATATTTTTTGCGGTTAAATTTACCGCGAAAATAATTATTTGTTTTCTGCTACTGAATATTTTATCTCTTATGTAAATATCAATAAAACAAAAGTAAATTTTGATATATCCTTTACAATTGATTTAATAAATGCTCCGCATTCAGAAACTTCAGTGTTTTTACCTAAATCAAATCGCTTTTTTAAACTCCTTAAAATCTGAAATTGGATAAATGATATATAATGGAAATTAGTCTTTTAATGTTTATTTTTCTCGTCATATATGAACCACTGGTCTATGTTATCTGAGGTAAATGTATTTTTTAACGTGTTAAAAATTATTTACGTAACGTTTCTTTATTTTTATTTGTCGTTTTTTTATACCAGTTGTAAATGCTCCCACAAGCTCAGATTCCGTCGTTAAAGAGTGTAAAATTTGAGTTCCCGTATTTTAAAATTCCATCTATATCAAGATCAAATTAAACAATAATGAATGACTTAGGAGAAAATAATATTGGAAAGGGAGAATTAATTGATGAAAACAATATTGAAACAGGAAAACCAGTTTTACCTGCAGAAACTGTTTATCTTTATATGGGCAGTGAAACAAGGGTTTCCAGGAGTAGTAGAATGCAATGGTTAATTGATCATTTGAATGAAATTGTTACCATACCCTTCATAGAAAGTCTTGAAAAAGTCAGCAAGGCTATAGAAATTGTATCAATTATTCCAGAGGGATTAGGATTAATTAATTGGAAACCGGAAACTAGTCATCTATACCAATATCACATTCATCCGAAAACAAAGGTATTGTTTTTATCACATAGATACTGTCTTACATATTGTTTAGATATGAGTCCATCTTTATCTGCGGTAGACATTCAAAATGGAGAAGTAATGATGGATAAAATATTTACATGTTTAAAAACTAGCCTCGAAGGTGTTTCTAAGTCTTTCATATTGCCAGGTTCTACATTAGTTTTTCATCCCGAAATATATGTCTCGGTAATAGCTAATACTCCTTTTTTTATAACTCCAGCTCAACAAGTGCTTGTTCAAAGTTGGCGAGTCACAAATGATAACATCTCTGATTTATTTAAAAACATTCAAGCAGAACTTCTTAAACTAGAAAATGCAGTTGCAGGTATGTCGGACATATTTATCAATCAGTTAGAAGCGGAAAGAGTAGAATGTGACAATATTGTCGGAGCATTATTTGATGAAGAGCATTCGAAAAAAACTACACCTCCTGTAGCTATGGTTAATCCAGATCAAGGATTTATTAATATGCTACGTTTCGGCATGTTGGCTCTACGTTTGTTGCCTGCAGCTAGCTGCGCTGGAATTGTAGTTGTAACTGATGGAGTGATTACACTTCCTGATGCTTATTTATTAGACGTCACTCTTGATCGCCTCCGTTCCACTGGCGTTTGTTGTTCTTTTTTACACGTTGGATCACCGTTCCACCCTCATTGTGCTCAAGGTAGAGTTCCTTATTCCGATCTAATGAATTTCGTAGCCACGGCCAGTCTCGGAGTTCACATGACTAACATCCCAGAAGTAAATATTTTAGACTTCAGAGATTTACAAATGAACCTTTATCATAAAGCTTTCTTAAGTTGGTCCTTTCAATGCTCTGAATCCTCTCAACAAGATATAGTTAATACTAATAACAGTCAGTGGCGTATATCTAACCCAGCTTTCAATTCATATCAAGATATGCAACTCTTAAAAAAAAAGCAAGTGGAAGAGAGTTTGAACATTCCTCTGGTTAAAATGCTCTGCTGCCGAATTCGAGAAGGTTACTTTGTGAAAAGTATCAATCTATGTGATAATCATATAGAAATAAAATTAATTTTGGCTTGGAAATATCAAATATATTTAGAATGCATTGTACGATCGAAATGGCCGCCATTGGGAAACAACGTTCATTACACTCTTTTTATAAAAGCTCCCTACGAATTTCTTCACGACATTAGTTGCAACATAAAAGAGTCTCATCAGGCTTTTTTCCGGCAAGCTATCGTTTCTAGATTTTGGTGCTTTTTAAAAAACTACATGCAATCTGATTATCTTATGGTTCATTTACATTCAAAAGAAAGCAATCAGCATTGGAGCTCTATACCGGAAAGCATACGTTCAGGAATTCCTTTATTTCATTCTTCACCGAGTGGACAGGGCTTGATTAAGTCTTTGTCATCGACGAATGACGTCAGCTCACAGTTTGTAGCCTTTTGGAAGCCGATTAGTTTATTAAATCCGGATGCATGGCATAAATGGCTTCACACTTATCGAATCGGTTTAATTCTTCGTCACGATTATCCGCTTCCGAAAAATCTTCACCTGACAAATTCCAGCGGTAGGTTTCAAGCCATACATTGCCGACAAGCTGCAACAGCACTTCAAAGTATGCTCCGAGACATTACCACATTCGTTTTGATAGACAATAAATCATTTGTTAAACTCGTGGCTTCAGATTCGTCTAACTCTAGCGCTTGGTTTTATATAATAATTTTGACTTGCAAACAACCCTGCGTTGTCATTAATCTAGCGTTTCCCTGTGGGACTCCATCCAAAAAGAGATTGTCTATCGTTGCAAATTTAAAAACTCAGCTATGCGAATTATCTTGTTCTTTATCTTCTCAAGAGAGATTATCCGATAGAATTTCTAATCCGGTTCACGTTCCGGTGTCTAGAAAATGCTCCAGAGTTTCTTGTTGCAACGTTTTACAGAAACCTGTTGAAAAAATACTGATTCGTTACAAAAAGTTACCTTCTACATTCGATACAGTAGTTTTTCCAGATGGAACTCAATCTTTAAACGCTAAAAAATCATCATTTCCCGAAACGAGTAAATCTGGGTATTTGGTTACCACTTTATCTCGATATCTACATCATAAACGTTGGATATGGAGCGCTCAAAATGTTCCAGGTTCATCTATAGGAGCTCCTGCGGTGGCGAGAATTCTTTCAACCATCACGGAAATGAGATTGAAAGAAGGTTTCAGTTTCGCTCATTCACAAGCGGGTATAGTCAATATGCTGTTAGAAATTCAAATGCAAGGAGATCCAGAGTTGGGAGAAGAGGTTTCGCGATGCGTTCTCCAGTACGTTTTATTTCCTCCTCATGTCAAATCCGAAGACGAAACGAACAAGTTCGAAGGGGAAAGCGACGAAGAAGAAAATGAAGGAATGCTTCAAATAGTCACTGAAAGTTGGGTGGAACCACATTCTGGGTTGGTTGCAGGCGGTCCCAGTCCTAGAGCCTACATGGATCAACTTCCTTACAATAAACTTTCCGATGCCATAGCCAATGCGGATGCTCAATGCATTTCATCTCTTTTAACATTTGAACACCTCAGTTTAATGGCAAGAAACAAATCAATAAGTCCACCAAGTAATTTATTTGTCGTACCTGATATTACTCAACTCAAAGACAGAGTTTTAGTTTATCACGACGGTGTGTCGATACGTGACGATCGGATTCATTACGTTCCTTTTCTCTTCAACCTGATCAACATACTACCTAAATGTCGTCAAGCTGAATTGTTATTTTCCATGCCGATTCAAGATCTAACAACAAATTGGCAAATGCCTTCCAAGTTTACCGACAATAATGATTCTCTCAATCCGGACCTGAAGAATGCTTCTTTGATGGAATTGATATTCGATCAGTTGAACAAATTACACGACAGAGAATTGATTTTAAACGCGGAGGATTCCCATCATTTTGTCGAGCATTTACATCGGAGAGAAAGGAACGTTGATGCTCACCCTATACCCGTCCCTAAATACACGGATACGAATGTACTATCCTCGAGTTGGAAGTGTTACATTAAGGGAATTAATCCCGAACACATTACTCTGACGTTCATTCCAGCGGGTTACAACGAATTAAAAAATTTAGTTTTGAGCAAAACTTCAAATAAAGATTCGAAGCCTGTGAAAAATTTAACTCTCGACGATAACAGCATTGGAGAATTCGTAGATTGGGGAAGAAAAAGGCAATCGTGCAATAGCGATCAATTGTTACAAGATACTGTCTTATCCGCTGATAAAGTCAACTATCAATCCACTCCAGTTCAAGATCACAAAGTTCCAGAATCGAAGTCTTCTCAGGAAAAAAACAAACAATTCGACAGCGGGTTTTTCATTTTCGAATCGGATAATAAAATCGATCACGGATACAATGTTCATAATATATCGACTTCCGAATCGCAATTAAGATCGATGTGCGAATCGAATTCTTTATACGATTCTCAAAACGAAACTCTCGAATCGTCGGATGTAACCTTTCAGAGAATATTCAGCGCCATGGCGAAACCTTTCAGAGACAGAGCGAGCAGCTTGGACACGAATTTCGACAGAGCTAGAAAAAACAATTCCGATACGACGTATAGCATGCGAACGACTTCGATGGAAGCTAAAATTTGGGGTAACAGAAGTGTTAATCAATCCTTGGAAGTGACTCGATCCAATACTCAAGCAAGTGAAATTTCATGCGAACCCGCGGATAAATCGAGTAACGCGGATGCAAATTCGGAAGATTTGATGCCGTCAACGGAAGCCGACATGGTCGACATTCAAGATTCCAACAAAGTTTTCAGCACGATTCCACTTCCGATATTTATTTACGATTGTCCACTAGCAAACCTAATCGATTCTCTCGTGTACAAAGATAAAATCACCGGAAGTGGATGATATTTTAGTCATCACCTTTGAGATTCCAAACGATTTCATTCATAAAAAATTATTATTTTGTTATTATTATTATTATTTTAAAATTTTATTTTTATTAATATAAAAAAAAATTAAAATTAATTAATTATTTATTTATTTATTTATTTCCGTTTTACTAAATTAAAAATTTAAAGAAAGAGATGAATTAGAATAAAAACGGGGGGCGGTTTAAAAAAAATTATGCAAATAAATAATAATAATAATAATAATAATAAATTTTCGAGTGGGAGAAAAACTGAAATGAGGGGGGGAGGGGAGGGGAGGGAGGGGAATTTTTTTTTTTTTTTTACTTTCACCTGTCAAAAAGCCAAAAGCCAACATTTATTTATAAAAAAAAAAAAAACTAAAAGCCAAGTCAAAAGGTCTCACTAATCATTTATTTTTAAATTTTTCAATGTCCGCCATTATTTAAAAAATTTTTTTTATTTATTTATCACCGTATCTTAAATTCTACTTTCCCCTCCCCCACCTCCCTAATAAATCTAATTGTGATAGAAATAACCAAAAAAAAAAAAAAAAAAAAAAAAAGCAAAAGTTAATGAAAATAATAATAATTTTTTATCGTTACAAATTTCGTACGTACTTGTCGAAAAAATTCATTCCAGAAAATCATTCCACAACATTCAATCGTAGCTATTACGTAATTAATAAATAAAAAAAATACATAAATACCTAATAAATAATTTATTTCAAAATGTTTTGTCGTTTAAAAAAAAAAAAAAAAATTGCAATTTAATTAAAATTTTATTATTTTCTCAAATTCCATTTTATTATATATTCTCCCGAGAAAATTTTTTTTAAAAATAAAAACAAACAGACTCCATTTAGAACAACAACAAAACAATATTTAAATGTCGTTTAACATAAAATTATTATATTTATGTATACATAAGTTTTATGTATAATTTTTTTTTTCTTTTTTTGCTTTCTCATGTAACGATAAAATGAAATTTTGAAATATTTTTCTCTTTTTTTTTACTCCATTTTTTTTTTTTTTGTGATAAAATATGGCAAAACAAGGACAGGCTCTTCAATCATTCACAACAGAATTGATTAACTGTTTGGACAGTTTAAAAACTAAACGAGAAGAACTACAATTGGTAATAGATTTAGAAGAATTAGAAAAAGCTAAATTACAAACAGAAATCGAATGTTTATCGAATAGATTATCTGTCATAATGACGAGTCTAACGAAAAAAATGGCCATGAGATTGGATTTAGACAGAGCTATATCAGAACCGGAAAAAGCAATGTGTAACCTTTTGGAAAATTCAAGAGCCATTGTTAATCACGTCAAAAGAGAAATATCGACTCTTTTTCCTGAAGATATAGGTACGTGTCCAACGAGTGCAACACAAATATGTTTAATCGATACTTGTCCAATTGTTTCACCTCCAACAACAACAACAAACAACAACAGCATTCAACCCTCTCAACAAATAATTAATTCACAAATTACAACAGTTAATATTTCTGTTTCTTGTAAGGCGGCCACCGGTTTATGACACCTTCAACACAACTAATTAGTCGTTAGTCATTTAATTAAATAATCAATCAATCAATCAATCAATCAATCAATGAATAAATAGATAAAAGCCTTATTGTAATGTGTCCTATTGATAAATTCAAAAGTGAAATTTTATTTTATGTTATGTGAAATTTGACGTGTTTTATTTATTTATTTATTTTTTTTTATTCATTTATTTGATATTATTTTTTATTTATATTTTTTTATATTTATTTATTTATATTATATAAAATAAATTTTTTTGAAAATATTTAAATGTTTTCTATATATTTATTTAATATCCTCCTTGAATTTTATCACATTAAAATTTATTTATTTATTTATTTTTTTTTTTTGAAATTTTTTTAAAATTAATAATTAATTATTAAATTTGTATACTCTATGGTTGTTTATATAATTGCCAGGAAACAAAATCAAATGATATTATTATATCGTATGAATTATTATATATTTATTTTTACACCTGATTTATAATATTTTTGTTTTATTTTGTAAGTAATTAAATAATTTTAGGCTGTGTTAAAGTATTAAAATGTCTAAACACGGACTCGCCCTACAATCATTCACAACAGAATTGGTTAACTGTTTGGAAAATTTAAAAACTAAACGGGAAGAGCTTCAAATAATAATAGATCTCGAAGAATTGGAAAAGGCTAAATTACAAGCGGAAATCGAATGTTTATCAAATAGATTATCTGTTATAATGACGAGTCTAACGAAAAAAACAGCTGCGAGAGCGGATTTTGACAGGGCGATATCCGAATCGGAAACGGCACTATGTCGTCTATTAGAAAATTCACAACTCGTTGTTAACAACGTGAGAAGAGAAATATCGACTCTGTCGGGAGATGAAATTATGAAAACATCAGCAACTTGTCCTTCGGGACAAACGCAATTTTGTCTTATTGATGCACCCGATGCGTGTCAACAAGCTGTACCACCGGGTGGCGTTGTTACGGGAGGAGGTATGCCGCAGCCACCCGTTGCTGTCGGTATAACATGCAGATCAGCTAACGGCCTTTAAATTACCCTTTTTTTTTTCTTTTTCTTTTTTTTTTTTTTAAAGTCATTCACCCTCGATAAGTTTTTATTTATATATATAAAAAATATATTTTCTTAATACGTATTGATTTTTCCCCCCCTTTTTTTTTTTTTTTTTTTTTTTGTAATCATTTATAAAAATTCAAATAAATATATAAATTATTTTTTTTGGCTTTAAAATTGGTTATTTAAGTAAAAAAGTTTAACCTTTTTTTTACAGCATGCAATTTTTTTTTGAATTTTTTCATTTTAAATAAAAGCAGAAGAAAGTTTTTTACTTACAGCCAATATTCTTCGACTGGAGTCGTCGTATGATTGTTTGTTAAATCCATAGAATTTTCCATTCCCATATTTTCACTGCTATTACTCCCATCGAAACAATTATCGGTGTTCCACCAATTTCCTAAAAATAAACCAAAATTTGGTTAAGCGTAAAAATTTCATGTTTTTTTTTTTTTTTGGAAAATTTATGAAAGTAACTCACCGCAACTTTGCCATGGCAAATCTGGCAAAACAGTAAAAGTGCTCAAAAGATAAAATAATGTCCATGCGATTATAATACAATAGTAAACGTCCAGTAGGAAAACAATAGTCATGGTCGCATATCCGGTTCCTAAAAAAAAAAAAAAAAAAAAAAAAAAATAAAACAATAAATTATTGTTGCATAAACTAATTCGTTAATAAATGAATTAAATAAAATAAAAATAAATTTTACCTTGAAGTAATGGGCAAATGTTACCGACAAGAGTCATTCCTCCACATCCCAAATATTGACCGATGGCAACTTCTTGAAAAAAAACGGGAATCCCACAGAAAATCATAGCAATGAAATACGTTATTAAAAAAGCACCTGAAAAAAAAAAAAATTTATTATTATTATTATTATTATAACGATTTTACTTTTAATAATATATAAAATTAATAAAGTGCTTTATTTTTTTTTTTTTTAAATTAAAATTATTAATTTATTAAAAAATTTATTTATTTTTCCGGTCTTTTCTATTGTTGATGTTTATCGATGGGAGTGATTCAATGAAAAATTACATAATTTTCATTAATTTATAAAATTTTCGTCGTTTGTTTGTTTGTTTGTTTGTTTTTTTTATATAAAATTACTATAATTTATAAATTCTAAAATTCTATACATTTGTGTCAAGTCTTGCACAATATAAGAATTTGCCAATTATACGCCTAATAATAATAATAATAATAATAATAATAATTTGTTCTCATTTTTATTTCGATATTTACATATTCGTAATTAAATAATAATAATAATAATAATTTATGCTGACTGTACAATAAAAATTTAATTACCGAAACCTGGTGATTGTTTTTCAATGTCATGTTTTTTTTTTTTTTTTTTTTATTTTATCGTAAAATAAATTTAAAATCTCTTAACAATACATGAAAATAAATTTTTCCAAAGGCGAATCCCACAAAAGATTTAAAATTTTAATAATATAAAGTTTAAATTTATGTTAAAAACGTGAATAAATATATAAAAATTAATAATAAATAAATAAATAAATAAATATTCAAGTTTTTAATAAATAAAAATTATAAAAAAAACAAGAAATATATTTAAAGAATTGTTTAATCGTAAATTAAAAAAAAAAAAAAAAAAAAAACAAAAAATGTAGGCAAACAACTTATGGGAATAAGAAAAAAAATAATAATGATTAATTTAAAAAGAAAAGGTTAAACCCCTTTCAAAAATATATATAATTAATTATTCATTAATTTTTAATAAATAATGTGTTGACAGTTGATGAAGCAAAAAGTATGTTTTACTCTCATAAACATTCAGTTTATCCAAAAAAATAAACATAATGTTATAATTTTGTTTTTAACAAAACCAGTGAAATAAATTTTATTTAAAAAAACATTTACTATTAGAATAAATAGTAATAAACCAAAAGATATTAATGTATGTCAACTTTTGTTATTAAAAATTAAACTTGTTAAACCTTGCCTCTTGTTGTTATTGTTTTTGTTTTTGTTGTTTAAATAACAATATTTTATTTTGTTTACAAATAGGTATAATCATGTGTAAACATTAATAAAAAAAAAATTTTTTTTTTAATAGTTGAACTTGTTAAACTTAAAAAAATATTTATATAAATAATTATATTAAGTATTTATTGATTCTGAACACAATTTTCAATTATTTAGATTATTGTTATTAAAATAATAATAATAATAATAACTTTACTTTATTATAGTAATGAAAAGAATATACTATTCTCACACAATACAGTTTAATTATTATAAGCCATAACACACTTTGACATTTAAAAAAAAAAAAATTCAACATTTTTTTCAAAATTATTATTATTAAGTATTTTCACTAGAAAAATGGAAAGTAAGACAAGAATGTATTTGAAATAATTAACTCTCTTTTTCCTTATAACTGTTTTTTTGATACTGCATAAAATATAAAAAATTTTTCACTTACCTCCACCATTTTTGTGGCACAAATATGGAAACCTCCAAACATTTCCCAATCCAACAGATACACTTATGCAAGAGAAAAGAAAATTTAATTTGCTTGACCATCCACCCCTTTCTGGATCTTGTTTTATATCAACTTTTTCATGAGATGATTTGGCATCATCATTATTATTGGGTTTCCAATAATTTTCTGATTTTATTCTCTTCATTGTGATTGATTGCTCCATTTTTAAATTTTATTTCAATACTCAAAATTAAATACAAGTGAGCAAATAAATTTAAGTTGTTAAAAAAAAAAAAATCAATTTAAAAAAGAGAAAAAATTAATGAAAAAAAAAAAAATTTTTTTTTAATACTATCCCTTTTCTAAATGAAAATTTTTTTTTTGATTTTTATTACAATAATTTACTAAATAATCATCCGCATAATTTTTCTTGTACAAAATCCCAACTTTTAAGCCACATTTCTTTTTAATCATTAATTTAAAAGAAAAAAAAAAAAACTTTCTTATAACTTGTTAAAAAAAACTATTTTATAAGCAACAATTTAACAAAAGTTTGCTGAAAAAATTATCGTGTCACTAGAATTTCATCCGGTTTACGACAATTACTTTTGAATTTATAAATAATAGTTACTAATTATTACAATTATAATAAATTCAATTTAATTAAGCGAACATAATTTAAAAACGATGAAAAATAATTAATAATAATAATAATTTTAAATTAAAAAATTATTTTTTTTTTCACTTAAATACAAAATATGATTTACAAAAAAAAAAAAACCAACAGGTAAATAATTTTTTTTTGTTCGATCGACCGTTATTTAGCGAACTCGAATAAGATATGAATTATTAGATATACGATTAATGCCATCTGGCGAGTTAAAACTGAAACTTTCTTTTAATTGAAATTCGGTATCCTCTCTCCTTTGACAGTTAAAATTACCGTATCTGTGCATAAAGGTAATAACATTTATAAACGACTTTTTCTTTTTTTTTCTTTTTACAAATAGAAAATTAAAAATTTATTAAAATGTTAAAAATATTTCTTCGTATGAAATGCTCTTTTCGCTAAGAATATTAATAAATTACTCGATAATACACATTTTATGGAGTTATTAAATTAATATTTTTTTACTCTATGGAATCATTTTGTTTACATCATTTGAATAAACGTATCACAAAAAGGTTTGAATTTTTAAATATCTTTTTCTTTTTTTTGTAAATTACATTTAACGGTGAGATTAATTAATAGTAAATATCGTTTTAAGTTTTTTCTTACCAAAAAAAAAAAAAATAAATAAAACAAGTTTGTTATACCATTTTTATATTGAAAACTTTTACTTGTGCAAATACCACAAAAATTTCGCCCTTGCTGAGCAATTAAAAACCGTAATCCTATTTTTTTTTTTTTTATGTAATTAAAGACTGTATTTTTGTTTTGGCATTGACTAGGCGGCAAGAAAGCCTTCTTAAAAAAAAAAGTAAAAGGTGTAGTCAAAAAAAAAGAAAAATTTAAATACGAGGCGGTTAAAGATTATGCATAAGTACAAATTAATAAATTATTATTTTCAAAAAAATTATAATAATGCAAAAAAAAAAAAATTATAATTTTCTCTTTCTGAATTGTTTGTTTGTTTGCCTGCTTTATTATTATTATTATTAATTTTTTTTTAAGGACGATTCACGCCTTTTTATTAACCATAAATAAAATTTTTTTTTTTTATTAAATTAAAGAAAGTAAAAGAAAACAATTTAGTTAGCACAGGATAATTTAAAATTAAAATTAATAAGATTTATTGTTTATTATTGTCTGTGCAAAAAAAAACAATTCTAATTGTTTTATTTGTTAATCTTACTGAAATAATAATAATAATAATAATATTAATAATAATAATTATGATTATGAAATCATAATTAAAAATAATAAATTAACTTTATATCTTAATTGTTTACATAACAAAAAAAAATTTTTTTTTTTTTTTTAAAGTAAATTAGTTGAAAAATTACATCATTCTTTTTTTTAATCGTTGCACAATAAAATAATTATTTATTTATTAATTAATAAATAAAAATAATAATAATAATAAATAACATGATTCCTAAATTTGAATAAACAAAATTTTATTTTAAAAAAATGAAAATTATTATTAATGAAAAGAAAAACTTGATTTTTATTTAATCATTTATAATTTTTCAATAAATAAATAATAATTAAATAAATTTATTTATTTATTTATTTAATAAATATCCTATCCCAATAAATACTTAAAAATTATTTAAAAAATTACAACAACAAACCTTTTATTTTTACCCCCCCCCCCAAAAAAAAAAAAAAATATAATATATGAACTTTGATATTAAAAATTATTGCAAAATATTTTTTATTTATTTATAAATAATAATAATAATAATAATAATAATGCAATCTTTATTTAATATGCAAGATAAGTGAAGGTAAAAAAAATATTAATTAAATCAAAAATTTTCAGGTTCATATGTTAAATAAATAAATAAATATATAAATTAGTGACACAAAATTATATTTAAGTTATATTACTTTATGTTTAGCATTATTATTATTATTATTATTATTATTATTATTATTATTATATTATAATTAAA